CAAGAGCGAGAGATGAATCGCCAGGTTTCTGTCCGCGTGGAGGAGTGCTGAGGGGGAACCGTAAATTGAGGGCTTGGGGGTTTTGGGATTTGGGGTTTAGGGATCTGGGGTTTTGGATTTGGGGTTTAGGGAGTTGGAGTTCTGGGATTTGGGGTTTAGGGATTTGGGGTTTTGGATTTGGGGTTTAGGGCGTTGGGGTTTTGGGATTTATTCGAGTTTTGGGATTTGGGGTTTAGGGATTTGGGGTTTTGGATTTGGGGTTTAGGGATTTGGGGTCAAGTGTCAAGCGCACTTTTGGGAGGTGCGGGTGGCCTTCGAATCTAGTGTCTTAGGCGGTTGTGGGGCTAGGGTTTTTAGGGTTCAGTGTTCAGGGTTTTGGGGGAGTAGTGTGGATGAGAAAAGACAGGCAACTTGCACGACGGTGGCTGACAGACATCTGCATGGAGGTTGAGTCCTTGTGATTGAGAGAGAGAGGGAGAGAGCGTCAGAGACAGTAAGAGACCGAGAGACCGAGAGAGAGAGAGAGAGGCAGAGAGAAAGAGTGAAGAGAAAGAGACCCAGAGGGAAAGCGAGAAAGAGGGACAGAGAGAACGAGATAAGAGAGAAAGACAAGAACAGGGAAAGAGAAAGCGAGAAAAAGGGGGAAGCAGAGAAACAGAGAAAGGGAGAAGAGCGAAACCAACGGAAAAAAGAGAGACAGCTACGACGAGAGAAAGTCACAAAGAGAGAAACAGAGAATGAGAGAAAAAGAGAAGGAAACCCATACTCACTCACTTGGCTAAGTGTTGGAACGGAATCGGCCACGGCCAGGAGATTGAGACGACGGGCCACGCTGTGCAACGTCGTCTGAACGCCGAGGCTGCCCTGCGCTAGCACATCCCGGCCAATAGCGGATGTTTTCATGATGATTGGTGTAATCGTTTGCACGGTGCTTGCCTCAATCCGAGGTGTAGTCATGCTGAGAATAGCGCTGGTGGTTAGGAGGACACGATGAGAGATCATGATCCTCGTCATATCGGTTTGATACTGGTAGCAGCCAGTTGCGAGTACTGCGGTTGTTGGTGAAGCTACCGTGCGTACGTGGGTTAAGCATCCAAAGTCGCAGCAAATCATCCGTGCTTCATAGAAACCCTTGTTGTCCTCTTCGGCAGTTCAAGTGACAACAGTGGTTCGGATCTGCCGAAAACATTAGCAGATATTCGCAAGTACGTTTGTTGCTTCTGCTGCCTTGACTGCTGGTTTCTATTTTCTGACTTGTACCGAGTGTTTGCAGCATCCGCGGTTTTGTCAACCCGGTTAGAAATTGATGGCGCAGCCAGCTACGATGCTCTATCATGGCTATATCGCCACAGGTACACCGAACACTAGCATCACCGACATGATTCCAATTGGCTGCATGTATTGCCAGGTTTATGCGGTCACACTCGTTTGTCCTGCGCTTGTTTCTTGCTTGGTCTCTTCTGGTCGCAGCCTGTTCCCTGGGCTCTAGCATGCATTGCATCTTGCGGTCGAGCTTCTGCATTCTGAGCTTGTTTCTGCACGGTCTCTATGTGTCACGATTCATTTAGCTCTCCTTGCGTTCGCATCGTCAGAGTCTTCAGCGGTCCTGTTTGCTCATGAATTGGTGTCCTGCCTTGTCCCAGGTAGTCGCACTGAATCGCACTCCTTTCTGTCGGTGCTACCAGGCTATGATTCACCAACAATGTCTATGTTGGGCATGGAGTTCAGATAGATGCGTAAGATACCCTTGAACCCTACCGTCGCAGGCCCAGACATCCCTCCCGCAGAGTTTTTGCGTAGGGTGCGTAGGGATCCTCAGACCGGGGTTTCTTGGGCCGCAAACCGTGAGGTCGATGCGAGGGTGCGCCTCCAAGAGCGTTTGGAGACCGGTGCGGACCAGGCCCTGTGGCCCTGTCTGACCAGAGACCCAAAGCCTCGATTGCACAGATCTGTCATCGCCAGTGTGCGCGCGTTGGCAGCCTTGAATGCAGGAGAAGGCGAAGCGGTAGCAGGGCAGGAGTCGCACTTGTAGAAGCCGTGAAGAATTTCTGGTACCCTCGGTGGTGGTTGTGATGGCGGCACTGGTGGTATCAACAAGCGGCAGTTGGCTTTTGCAGTTGTTGCTGTTTTAGCGTCAGCGGCAGAGCGGGAAGTGATCGCCGTTAATTGCAGTAGTAGTAGTAGTAGTAGTAGTAGTAGTAGTAGTAGTAGTAGTAGTAGTAGTAGTAGTAGTAGTAGTAGTAGTAGTAGTAGTGGTAGTGTGGAGTGGTAGTGGTAGTGGTAGTGGTAGGGGTAGTGGGAGTGGGGGTGGGAGTGGGAGTGGTGGTAGTGGTAGTAGTAGCAGTAGCAGTAGCAGTCGTCGTAGTCTTCATGATGGATGGCGTCGTGGCAGTGGGCATGATAGTCGCTGTTGTGGAGCGCCAGAAGCTAGTATCGCACCTGTGGCAGACACCGCAGGTGGAGGCTGCCTTGGCCGTTTTGCGGGCAGATGTAAACCTGGTGTTGGCCCAAGAGACCCAGATGGGAGTTTCCGAAAATGGGGGCCCTAATATAGTACCTTAAATAGTAGGATCCTTATTATGAGAGCCCCGAAATAAGGTACCCCTATTTTCGGAAACTCCTAGATGTTCGTTGAGATGAAGTCGATCGTCATGCACGGGCTTGTCCAGCTATTTCCGGACACATGCGGCTGATCATGCTTTGGTGAGGACTGCTGGTTGGCATTTGGTTTGAGAGTCATGCCGCTGCGAATTGACTCAGTTGTTCGCGCTTGTGCCGGCGCCGGCACCAGCGCCGCCTCCGGGACCGCCACCTGGCCTCGCGTCGTGCTGAGCGGGGCTTTCGCGACATTGGATCATCACCAACAATAGGATTCGGAAATCTCAACAACAGCGGCTGGTGTCGGTACTGATATTGCACCGGTGTCCTGATGAAGGCTCGGATTTATGTGATGTTCACCACTGCTCCGCACGTTACATGCCTCTTGATTTCCTCGTCCTGAGCCGACAGGTTCAACGGGGTTGGGCCGGGCTGACTTCGCCTGCCTGGAATCTCCCAAATGATTTGGGCCCCCAAGCCTGTACCACGCCAGCATGAGAGCTTGCATGGACCAGACCGGAACCAGAAGCCATAATGATGAAGCGAATCACGGTTTACGTAATTTCGAATGAGCCTGAACAAGCAGAGATCGGAAATGCAGGTATGCTTTCGCATTGCTCTCTCCCTCCCTCCCCTCCTCCCTCCCTCCCTCGCTCGCTCTCTGTCTCTGGGTCTTCGGTCTTTGTCTCGGTCTCGGTCTCTGTCTCTCTCTCTCTCTCGCTCTCTGTCTGTCTGTTTGTGAGTGACTGTAGTGTCTATTTGTGTCTCTGTCTGTGTGTGTGTAGAGTGCTATTTCACCAAAGCTTTCGGAGGCTTCTCGAGCTTCCAGCTGTCTCAGGTCTGATTTCCGTGGCGCTGGCGTGAGCGTTGCCATTGCAAGTCCAGGAATCTCCTGAGGAGCATGCTCGGTTGAAATCCAACCTGGGCGCTGTTGACCAATGTGTCACTGACCAACATGCTTCCTTCTCTGAACCGCGAGCTTCCGTTGCTGACTACGAGATGCACATGTTCCCTGCGCTTCGATGTGTGTCGGCACTGTGTAGGGGAGGCAACGTGTGAGCTCGCGGCATCGCCAAGGCCGAGGACCTGGCGGCATGGGCGGCGCTGTAGACGCAGGCACAAGGGTCCAACGCCCGAGTCGAAAGGATGATGCGAAAGAAACCGCCCCTTCAGCGAACAATTGTAGCAGCACTAATTGTCATGATATTTCTCAGCCTGCATCGCGGCGGCAAAACTTGAACCGTGATCTGTCTTGCATACTTTCGGAATCGGAATGAGAGTCAAGTTCATGCGAGTAACATGTGCCAGGAACGGATTCGGCTACGTGCAGCAGGTGGGACCACTCAGCAGTTGGAGCCTCTAGCCTCTATGCCGCCTCGGGGTCCAGTTTGTGTTTCATGCTCAGTTCTTGGGCGATCCTATGCACTGTTGATGTCATCTAGGAAGGCTCAGGGCCACAGGGCCACGTTTTGAAATGTGCTCGATGAAACTCCAGTTAGCTGGCATGTAATGCTTTAACATCCCACATGTTGCGGTTCCGGCGGGTCCGGACTCAAGCTGCAGTTTCGGCGGGTTGGCCCTCGACCCGCCGGAGCCACAGAATGGTTCGCAAGCTTGTACCAGCATCATGCGCGCTTTTCGTCCCGCGAAACTGTCGTTCAAGCCGGCTACAGGAATAATCGCCATTAATCGCCAACGTGGAAATTTGTCTCTCTGTTTGACCAAGTGTCATCTTAGAGCTCTTTGATAACAGCGAGCTCCGGACAGGCTGGAGGTCCTCTGCTGAAGAAGGGTCTGAAGGAGGGCCGAAAGCCGTGTGGAGTTGAATTCGGGATCGGGGCAGCTTTGGGCATCAGGGCTTGATGGGAAAGTTTGCAAAGTTGCACCGAGCTCTTGTGGGCTTGCCGGGTGGGATGGGCAACGTTGAAAGGCACTTAAGAGGGCCCCGCCGTTCGTCAACCAAAAGTGAAAGCCTCAATAAGACCGGTAGCTCGAGGTTATTTTGTACTATGTTCATCTGGGGATTGCAAGGACATAATACTGCTTAATATTCCGACCCTTACGGAAGGTCAGTGGGGAAGCATAGTGCTGCATTCTTTCATTTCTGCTTGTGTGCTTGTCTGCGTGGGCTCAATTCGTTTCGGCCTTTGAGTGTTGGGAGGAGTATGTTAAAATGGATGCTATCGATAATTGCAGACCCGTCGCTGGGGTACATAGGACGACCTGCAAGTACAGCTTGCGCATGGTGTTTGACGGACTAACTTGGAAGAAGCCTCGGTCCACGGGTCTGAGTATGCTTGGAATCTTGGGTTTACCATCCCGCATTGTGGCACTGCTAAATTCTTGAGAACGGTTGAGTCGAGGTCTGAACGGTCAGATCGGTAGTTGAGGCATAGAGAAGCATGGCGGAGCAAGTCCTTAAGCTGGACATTGAGTGCCACGAGGATGGGCGCAGCAAGCAAACCATCAGGGTGCCCATTGGTGGCGACGAGCCGGTGCGACGGCTCCTGGAGAAGGTCCGAGAGCGGACCAAGATCAATGGCTTGACGAGGTTGTACAGGGTCGTTGATGACGATGAGACCCTGCTGGACCCCGACGACCCTTTGCATTTGGTGCTGGATGCAGGCGACAACAGGCTTATAGCACAGGCCGCCCCGAACACAGGTACCGTCACCGCCACAGGCATGGCAATCAAGCAGTCGAGCAGCGCGGAGGGGCTTGAGCCAAGCCCTGGCGATGAACCGGAGGGCGAGGAAGAGGAGCTGGAGCCAGAGTTTGCCCAGGAACCCTCCGATGCGGTTGAGGGTGCGAAGCGCAAACTGGACCGGTTGGGCTGGCCTTCGACGCCTATTTCGGAAGTAGACTGTCCCAGGCTTGTGAAGCCGAGGACTCTTTATCCTCAAGCACCCTCTGACCTCGAGACCGGGCCGCAGCAGGAGGCTCCCACAGAGTCTGAGACAGACTCCGGGAAGATGTTTCAGACGAAGGCGATGGCAGGAGTTGCAATAGAGGTGGAGTCAGCCGATGAAGAGGAGAAGAAGGCTAACGCGGAGCGCTGTTCCGCAGTCACGGACGACCTCCCCAACCGACACGGAGAGGATCGGCTCCCCTCAGCTTCGTCCTACTGGCAGGATTGGGGCAGCTGGCAGTCTTGGGATCACGCAAGGGATTCCCAGGATGCCTGGTGGGACGACCCAGCAACAGCTGGCTCCTGGGCGCTTCAGGAGCTACGCGTGATTTCAAGGAGGCTGATCGGAGCCCAGGAGGTGCTTGCTTACGAGCGGAACCACCTGCAAGAGAAGCACGGCCTCGTGGAGGAGACCTTAGAGGCCGCTGAGGAGGCCCTGAAGGCTGAACGGAGCCGCAACAGGATGCTGCAAGATCACAACAAGATCCTGCAAGACGAGCTGTCCATCTGCGAGGAGAAGCTGGGAAAAGCCGCAGACGCTCTAGAATCAGAGCGCAGTGAGCACAAGACGCTGCAGGAGAAGTTCTCTCCCATTGAAGAGAAGCTGAAGACCGCCGAGGCTGTGATGGAGGGTCAACGCAGCCAGCTTGAGTTCTTGCAAGAGAAGCTTGCTACCATGGAGCAGGAGTTGAAAGCAAGCCAGAGCACTTTGGAGCTTGAGCGCCTCACCCACAAGCTCGTCAGGTGCGAACGACGGACGGGTAAGGAGAAGATCCAGGAACTTGAGGCCAGCAGCAAGATTTTGCAAGACGAGCTGTCCATCGTCGAGGAGAAGCTCGCAAAAGCAACAGGATCTCTGGAGCTAGAGCGCAGTGAGCATCAGTCCCTGAAGGAGAAGCTCTCTATCATGGAAGAGAAGATGAAGACCGCCGAGGCTGTGATGGAGGGTACGGGGAAGGAGAAGATCGAGGAACTTGAGGCCAGCATTCCTTGACTTACTGGCTACTAGCGTTTCGTTTAGGAAAGGAAGTCACAAAACGAGCATCGAAGTTCCAGAATTCAACAAAAGTTTCCGGATTGAGGCCGAAGTGGTATCTGAGCGGACGAGACGGTTGGCTGCGGAGGAGCAGTTGTGGAAGCTGCAGACGCAGCCCTTCGGTAGCAGCTAGCATACAGTATATACTCTACATAGTCCGGAACTTCAAGTTCTCCAGGCTCCAGTGTTTCCCGGTGTTTGGGGTCGGTAGGTCAGTAAATGCAGCAAAGGCACGTCTCAATTCATGCGATTGCTCCTGCTATTGAAAGTTTCGGGTGGGTTGTGTCTGTTGTGTCCCGCTTCTCATGTCCTCGTTCCTGGTAAGATCATGATCCTCAAACTGGCTATCGTTCCGCTCCTAGTGTGTTGCATGTGAGCATAGTTGTTGTTGCTGTTGAGATCATTGGCGGCGTTGACGGGGGTGCAGCTATCATCGGTGGCTCGTTGTCGAACTTCAGGTCTCTCAGTTCCGGTTCCTGCAGTTTTCATTCACAAGGCTCGGACTGGGACCCCGAAAGACTGAAAGACGCCGTCGCCAGGTGTCAGCTGGGAGCATGAAGAGGGGTCAGCCTTTTACTACTTTTACCATGCGAGGAAATGACAACAGGAAACGTTGCAGTAGCTCTGAAGTAAGATGTGTGCGGCAGACCCTCGACTCGACGATTGATTGTCGCAATATCACTGGCGGGAATGAAGTAGCCGCGTCACGTGATTATGTGTCTTCTCAACATTATTAGAACGCAAATGTCAGCAACGTCTGGTAGATCAATATCCCTAGATGATCCCAGGAAGAGCTCTGCGTCTCTTGGTGCTTCCTGGCAGTATGAGCTCGACGGCAGCTGGCATGCCTTCCCACCAGAAGGCAACCAGCAGATGAATCAGGCTTACGTGGCTTTCATGTCTGGTGAGGAAGCGTATCACGGTCCAACCATTGTGGTTGGAAGCGTTGGGCGCATCATCGACTTTGCGCGGATGACTCAACAGAATGCCGTTACAAAGAAGGTGCGCAAGATCCGCATTTGCGCCGGGGTGCCTGCACAGTGGGCAAGTCCCGCATCAGCCTTGATAATGCAGAATGACAGTTTGGAAAGCCTCTATGTTCAAGTGAGAGATCCACGGCTATTCAAGCAAGTCACTCGCGTCCTACAGGACTCCGGTCACACCTGGGATGCATCGTGTGCTTGTTCATGCCTAAAGAATGCGGCAGTCAAGTCCATCCACCGCGCCTCGGTGGGCGACAAGAACATAGGTTGTGGTCCATCCCCGAACACAGATAGAGCTAGACAAGGGCCCTGTGTTAGACGATACTCCCTACATCTACTGATGGCTGACGGGCTCCGGTCCCCACCTTTCTAAAGCTTCAACCGGACCTCTCAGAAGTATCCGCGTTGCTATACTACCCCAGTATGAGATCCGGCCCACTCCACAAAAAACGGTTAGTGCCTCTCGACAGCCTCATTTAGGGTTCGGAATAATTCGCCTGATGGTCCCTCTAGATCTCAGGACGTCGTTTCTTGCAGATGCGAATGAGGGTATTTCTTCGCAAGTCATGGAACTCGAAGTGACGCGACTGAGGAATCGAGAACTTCCGCCTGTGGCATCGGTACCAAGCCAGGCTTCAAGCCATGAGGGAGGACCATGCTAAGTGCAAGGTGCGCGTGCAAGGCCTGGGGACGGCACAGCTCCGCATGTTTTTTAGACACGCTAGGACAAGGTTAGAGATATGCACGCACGGCACGATTCTCTCAAAAAATCAGATCTCACCTTAGATGGCCCAGATGTATCCATGTGTTAAAGAAGTCACGAGGGGCACGTGGCATGGAGGGAGATTTCCGCAGCAAACATGACAGGCGCAGCTCTGGATCTCGACGGGAGAAGCAAGGTGATGACTGAAAGTCAAGGCGCTCTGGACTGCGGCGAGCCCCTCGCCAGTGACGTGGATGAGAAGATCTTGCTGCATGGCACCTCCTATGCCAGTGCCGATGCAATCGTCACGGAAGGCTTTGATCACAGGACCTGCCATCGCGGCCTCTACGGGGACGGCGTCTACTTCGCAGGTGCATGGTGCAAGAGCCATCAATACACTTGCTCGCATCACTCCGGCAAGGCATGCCGTTGCAAGCAGGACCATGTTTCAAGCTTTTGCCTTTTTTTGCAACCGCTGTGTCAGATGGTTAGGTTAGGTTTTCATGTGGAAGGGTTTGTGAGACCTTGAGGAGAGGACACTGATCATCGCGCGCGTGGCGCTCGGTGATCCGTACTACTCCCAGACGACCCTGAAGGGCAGCAGAAGGCCTCCGAACCGAGTCTCGGCGACAGGCACCCATGGCTCTGTGGTGGTGAATCCGGGACAAGTCCATGGTCATCACAACTCCCACCAAGCTCACCAGGAGTTTGTGATTTTCGATCGCGAGCAGGCCTATCCATGCTTCGTTGTGCAGTATGTGCTCTGACAAACAATGACATGCCCAGCGTGACTGAAAGCATGCGCTTCGAAAGAACGAGTGCCTGGCACTGGTCAGGATTCTCAGGCTCTTAAGCTGGCAGCGGGCCGGATGTTAGCATGCTTGAATGCGGGGCCTTGCCATGCGCAGCTTAAGATAAATTGAGCTCTGGGTTCACGTTGATCAGTGTGAGGCTGAAGAGGCTTTCATGCAGCATTGTTTTGTGTGGCGATGTCTGAGCAGGAACCGTGGTGATTGGGACTGGGAGAAGAGCGAAACCTGAGCCAAACATAGCCCGAAGCCTGAACCATCCTAAACCCTAGACATCTCGAGCCCTCAACCGCAAACTCTTCAACCTTTGTGGTATTCTTTCTGGGGATCCGTTTTACGAAGGCTTAGGCCGTGATCTTCGGAGGCTGGCATTTGTATGGAGGCTCTCGAAGTGCAGAAGGGTCGTTGCGGGTCAGTTTTCCGGGGCTTTAGCTTTTAGGGATGTTCATAAACTAGGGATGTTTATGGATCCTGCAACCCTAAGCCCTCTGACAGATTGCGTGGGCTTCCGGCTGATATCCAAGGGCTCGGCCCGCCCCGGCTCGGCTCAGTAATTCTTGCTTTATCTTAGGGGTTTAGGGTTCAGGGTTTCAGGGTTTAGGTTTAGGGGTTTCAGGGAATCCTCTACCACACAAAACCCGGCTCAAAGCGCACCAAAACCTTCGTGAAACCCTGCGAAGCCCTGATCATGAAGGCCCTTATAGCAGACCCTGAGGCCAACGCTCACTAAATATGAAGGCCCCTCGAGGTACCGAGTGCGGAAGATGTGACGCTTCGGCGCTGCTTTTCGTGTGTTGTTTAGGTTTCAGGGGTGTGGTTTAGGGTCAGCCCTTCGGAGGGTCAGGCATGCCATTTCATGACTTTCGAGTCAAGGGATACGGCTAAGGGTTTCAGGTTGTTGAAGGTTTACTTGCGGCTCCAGCCACCTTTTGCTTTTGCGGTTTACCTTACGAGTAGGGGATAGCAACTTACCATTTTATAGAGTCTGCAGATAAACCGTAAATCCCCGAACCCTGAATCCCAAATCGCCAAATCCTTAAACGCCCGCATCCCTGAACCCTAAATCCCGACCCCCTGCTCCGAATGTTTATGCCACAAAACAAAAACAGAAAAGGAACCTTACTGAAGCCCTTGACTTACCTTTGGTTAGTAGGGAATGGAGGAATGGGGCATAATTATAACGACTATTACTACCATTCTTCCATTCCCTACTAACCAAAGGTGAGTTGAAGGACGCCAAACTCGAAAACTTTCGCAGACCTGCAGGCGACGTCTCCTCAAACGCATCTGGAGGGGAGGAGCGCCCCTTGGTCGGGATTTAGGGATGTTAAGGATCTGGGGTTTAGGGTTTAGGATAACAGTGGGGCTTCAGGGATATAGGGTTCAGGGTTGTGTGGTCAGAGAGGTTTGGTCCGTCGAAGTTTCGGGTCTGGAGGTTTGACCCTAAACTCTAAACCCTAAACCCTAAGCCCTAAACCCTAAACCCTAAACCCTAAGCCCTAAACCCTAAACCCTAAACCCTAAGCCCTAAACCCTAAACCCTAAACCCTAAACCCTAAACTTTGGGGCTTTACAGGGTTTTTGGAGCAGTGTCTTTCGAGGTTCTAGGAGGGCTCTAGGGATTGAACGTCGCGGGGGTTATGGGTAGAAGGCTTCAAGGTTTCAAGTTCTGGGTTGAAGAGGGGTGCTTGAGGTCTGTATGAGAAATACCTGAACGTGTCACAGACATTACTGGACTGATCGAAACTTTTCGATCAGATACGCGTCGTACCGCTGAGGCTGAGGCCGTGCCAGATCAAGTTCTTTTGTTGGGTGCATTCTTGTCGGCATATTTCAGAAAATTCTCCCGCTGATCCTGAAAGAAAGGCCTGTCAGCGCATGGGGAGGACTGTGGTTAAGAACTCCATACTCAGACAGGACTTAAAATATGTTACCTCTACCATGTGCTGCTGTGGCGTTTATGATCAGAACCAGGCGCCCTGTAACAGATTCGGCGTGGGGATGCGATACACACGCCAGATATACCGGCCAGACGCTTCGTTACGGCTGCGTAACAGCTCCGTGATAAGCTCCGTTTTCCAATCGGTGTAAGAGAAGGGGTTCGGAAGGGATCCCACCTGTTCCGAGATTTGGAACCGAGACGGCCACAGGTGCAATCATAGCTGGCATGACAGGGATGTCCGAAAGATGGTAGTGAGAACATCCAGTAGAAAGACGGACCCGGCACGTTCGTGCTCGTCAATACGAAAGCAACGCCACGAGACATTGGGGTTTCGGGTTGAGGGAGTAGGGCAGTGTAGGATTTGGGTGCAGGATGGAGATCGGCGCAGGGTCAAGGGGCGCATAACACACATATCATTTGCCGTTCACTGGAGGCATGGTTGCAACGCGCCGTCGTGTCTTACTCCTTCACGGTCTCTAACCGACTCTAACCCTTGTTGGATTTTGGTGGCTCACAAAGTCCTTAAATCCTTAAAGCGGTCTTCCCTAAACCCTAGGCCTTTGTCATCCCATATCATATATCCCCAACCCAGGTTGCTTCTCAGTTTTGAGGACTCGCGCCTACAGTAGCCCGGGTGACTTCTGAGCGGAAGCAGAAAATGGCTGAAGCCTATCCTATCAAGCCAGTACAAGTAGTATAAGGTATAGTAATATGAAGTATTTAATTTTCATAGCCAGTACAAGGTTCAGTATCTAACGGCTATATAACCAGCACCTATATAACCAGCACGGGAAAATTGCTGACGGTTTTGCATGGAGAAGACGCAGAGAGAGAGGCAGAGACAGAGAGAGAGAGAGAGAGAGACAAAAAATGAGAGAGTGCAAGATGGAGAGGGAGTATGTCTGAATTGAAGCGGACCTTACCAGGTGCTGGGCTTGGGATGGGGAGGTGAAGATGCCTTGGGGTCTTTCGGTAGAGAGCGGTGATCTAACTTATATCCTTTGGGTTTACCTTTGCCCTCCACTTGTTAAGCCTGCCAGCAGGAGACGCAAAGCCCCCTTTAAAGGCTTCCTTCATACCCCCTCTTTGAGCAGCCTAGGATCAGTCGTTCAAACTTCGGAGCTCCGGAGCCTGGCTGTCCGGAGGCTCGAAGAGCTGACAGAGAGTAGGGAGGACAACTGAAAGGTTTTGAAAGGCCGAGGGGTGACGGTGGGAAGGGCTAGCACCAGAAGTTCGCCCTTCACTTTTACGCCCACATTCGGATCCCTTGCTCTCTTTTTTTGGGCATCGCTTCCGCTTGGCTCGGATAACGAATCATCACACCTTCATTCGCAACGCAGGTTCGCGGGAAGTGAATGCAGCCTTGCAGAGTCGCAGATGCTGCATTGCTTGTCAAGAAAACAGAGACGCCGAGTTTTTTGTCGGGAGCCATGTTCTGGCTGCATCTCTCTTAGGTCAACTCATGTTGCATTTTATGTTGCTACGGTTCACGAAGGTTTTCGCTCGCTCCTGCGGTTCACAAAAGGGGCCGATATCGGGCTACTACCTTGAGATGGTAGGGGAAGAAATGGGAAGAACACGTCTGAATATGTCCGAAGCATGCCGGTGACCCGGAGCATGAATGTAACACACGCAACAGCATTCAAGCTAGCAATTGCTGATGTTTTGAACGTCACCAGCATGCGCTTGCGACGCGATGGGTCAGCCGGGACCCCAGTTGGGGGTCGGGGACCTTGACAGAGCTACAGCGCACCTGAGCCAACACTCCCACTTCACGTCCTGACATGTCCGGATGTCTGCGGTGTACCCTGCGCAGCGCACATAGAGTGCACGGACCTCGCAACCTGTCAGATCTGAGATAGCGCCAGGGCACAGCTTTGGGCGAAGCATGTGATGAGTTGTGCTGGGGCCTTCGAGGTTGGTTTTCAGTCAGGGTTCAGGCTGAAGGATGAAGGATTCTCTCTGTCTGCGGGTGTGCGCAGCTAGGTAGGTGGGTAGGCTGGGTACTTGGAGGATCATGGGAGTTAGTTAGTAAGGTAAGAAGTACCTTAATTGGGTTATAAGTATAGTTACCCCAACTCTAACCCTAGTTACTAAGTCCCGTGATCCTTTAGGTAGGCACGCAACGCTAAGCCCGGCAGGTTCCCGTTTGTATTTAGAGTCTTGAACTCTGAAACCTGAACATGTCGAAATCGGACTCTGCTGTTTTTGGACGCTTGGACCATTTCCCAGACCGGCAGATTCTCGGGTGTACTAAAGTATTCTTACTATCAGTATTACTACTGAACTACTGTAACTATAACTGGAAGTGTTGTTATTACTGTTTTTGATTATTGCTGATAATACTATCGTAGGGACCCACTAGGGATTAGCGTTTAGGACCCGCGGTCAGGGTTCCGGATTTGTGGCGTTGGGGTTAACAGCCAAGGTGACCCACCATCTCCGGATGGTCCCTGCTGTTCTTGCATCAAGGCTGGTGCTTTTGCACCGTCGTCCTGGCGCGGCTGCAGCCAGCTTTGCTTCCGAAAGCGCTTGGACCAACTCAGCGTTGCCTCGCAGAGGCTTCAGTTCCGCTTCTGATGGCATCCATGCTGCCAAGCCTTGTTTGCCCGAAGATCACCCATGTTCACAATCTGGAATCCCGCATCGCTTCGCCTTCTTACTAAGTGTCCGTAGCGAAGTCTGTGCGGCTGTGAATGCTGCAGGCAGCCTACGAGCGGGTGTGCTTGTGGAGCACGCTTGTGCAGGCTCCGGGGTCCCGAAGCTCGCTACACCCCAGCATGCAGGGTGTAGGACTGCTGCCCTTGGCGGCTTTGGCGATGGCTTTTGTCACCAATCAACGTCCTCATCGCGACCGGCTGTGCGTCGCTCTGGGTCGTCCCCACATCGAAGCCACATCGCCTGAAATCACACCAGCCTTTCGCGAAAGTTCTTTGCGAGCCGAAGCAGTGGTGAGAGCCTTTGCTGACGTGCATGGTCACACGTTCCTGCTCCACTGCCACAGAGCTTGCCTGAT